ATAAACTGTAAAGATAACAACCAAGCTGACCAAAGCAATCATTAAAGATTGTTGGTACAGCATATGGCTTTAACACTGGTCTCTGGCTGTAATCCTCCTCAAAGATATCGGCACTAAAATGCTTTGAACACAAACGACTATTTTTCATAGGAACAAACTTCACTCTGTCTGGCATAAGTTTGCTTATATTCTTCACCCATATGATGTGCAATTCAGGGAATCTCTTCTCATCTGGAAAGCTTTGAAGTAAATGAACAATTGTTTTTAGTGTCTAGTTAATACACTGTTCAATACGATACCTATAACTTACAATTATTATAAACAATGCCACACTAGACAACACATGGTTTAGTCCACAATAAAGACAATACAATGAGTGAAAGGCTTTGTACATTTAAAGCTAGTCGTATCTTTATCACATTGTTAAAATTCTCATTTGAATTTTTTTAAGATTAAGCATTATCTGTTAGGATATCGATAAGATTTCATCACTGCATCACATCCATCAACTTGCATGAAAATAAATACTTGCTCAACAACAGCTCCACAAGCTTGTCAACATTTTAAAATTTTGTTCTGCTTTTGCACTGTAGTACACTTACATTGTATTGTATGTTGCTTGCCAATAAATTTCATGAATTCACAAATTTACGCATTCAATACAGCAATACAGCATTGCGTTAAATTATTAAAAAAAAAGAGATTATACGAGCCTTACGCATGTGAGGACAGGTCCTTTCTTTCAGTAGATTTTTGGCAACCAGGAATTGAACAAAAAGTTGGCATGGTTGCAAATGTCTCGTTTCAATATAGAAATTTCCGACCGAAATTTTGAATTTACATCCTTCTGTTTTAAGCAAATTGAAAGGGGGGTGTGAATAACTTTTTTCTTCACGTTAGCATTTTAGGTCAGTGGTGTTCACCATAAATTTAGGTCGATTGTGACGTCAAAATGACGTAAATTTGGCCAAAATCCGCCATGTTTTTGGCCACACATTTTTGACTGACGAGGTATTGGAGCACGATCTCCAGATATATTAAGTATAGCTCAGTGGTTTACACCCACTATATCTGGGTGTTGAAAGTCATGTGACCGGCCGGTGCCAGGGCCTTTTCCCGCCTTCCCAATGACAAAAAGGGAAAAGCCCTGGGAACGAGGTTGCAATATTTCATGCAAAAAAAGTTGTTTTGAGAAACGTTGGAAATTTTGAAGTTTATATATATATTAATAAAAAAAGAGTATGTCAGCAGAAGATGACATATTCCTCGCGGAAGCATCGCCAATAGCCGACCGAAAAAATAGTAGAAAATTACCTTATGCGTACTATATTAAAAGAACAAAATATCGATAACTATGTGTGACGTTTTTAAGGGGGGTGGGGGGTGGGGTCTCCAGAGAAACGAACATATGACGTTTCTCATGGACAAAATCGATATGTGAGGCTTCCCTTAAGCAAACCGTGTCTCAATATCGTGCTATTCTATCAAGTTGCAAACAATTTTAAAAAGTAGCGAATAGCGATTTGCTGTTTGAAAAGTAGTCAACTACTTGGCTATTTTTAGGCAAAATGTAGTTCGCTATAACTACAGCTACTGTTTTAAAAAAGTAGTCAAAAACTACTGGCTACTTGTAATTCGCTACAGTAGCGAACTACAACTACTTCGCTACTACCCACCACTGTTAAAACGAGGCCATGGGGGCATAGGCGTACCGGGCGGGGGGGCGGGGGGGGCGGCAGCCCCCCCAGTTTTTTGGGCAGTCGGGCAATATTCGATGAACAGTCGGGCAATTTTGGTTTGCAATAAAAAAAAATGGGTCAAATTCTGTCAATTTTGTCTAAAAATAATTCAATTTTTTGGCAAATTTTGTTTTTTTCGAAAATTTATGTTATGCTCCTGAAAAATTGTTTGTCCGGAAAATTTTTTTGACCCCTAAAATGGTACACTGACCGAAATTTTTTTGGCGACGGGGGGGGGGGAGGTCGCCAAAATAATTTTTCCGGAAAAATTTTTTTGGTCCTAGTCGGGCAGAATCCCGAAAAGTCGGGCAGAATCTCGAAAAGTCGGGCAATTTTCTTGCCGCCCCCCTAATTTTTTCCTTCCGGTACGCCCATGCATGGGGGTACAGTTTATTTAGCTTTCATTTGTGAGAAAACGGTGTTTTTAATAGAAATTTTATATTATTGTTATACACTTCACAAATTAAATACTTTCTATTTACATATCGATCTACAGACTTACAGTGATCATTCATTATACATTATATATGCATTAAAATACTCCAACCCCCCATATATTATAAATCCTATTTACAAGTTAATAATAATATAGTCATTTTATACAATAAATATAAACAGTTCGTACAAAAATTTATAAAATACTACTTGTGTCTAGGACTTTATGAATCGAAAACACATGCCATCGACTTCAAGAATCAAATGAATCTTTTTTACTATAAACACTGTTGTCATTACTCATTACTGATATACAAGTGACTAATGCAGCTTTCATTGGACTTTCTCCTGACTGATCTAATGTTCAACCGCACAGTTTCTTGCTGGCCGGAATCATACGATCTCTGAAACTATTGAAAAAAGGTTATATATTAAAGCATGCAATATTAATTAAATCTCCATTTCAACGCACATTACATTTATATCAGTCTGTGTCGACCCAGAACTAAAGAGTAAAGGCCCGTTTACACTACGCTCAATTTTGGTTATCCGTGCTCGGATTATACCCATTTGCGAAGGGCGAGCACGGATATATTTGGTACGGGTACCAGTTTTCTGTTTTATCCGTGCCGTACCAAAAATTGAGCCCAGTGTAAACGGGACTTAAGACAGGTTGGAGGAGAGCTTGAATAATGACGGCGTTTTCCAAAGTATGTTCTGAAATTAGTTACTTCGCTCTCGATTTATGCCTATGGCTATGCATGGCTATGAGAAGCGGCAATGGTAATGTGAAAAAAAGGCTTCAAAAACACACGCAAATATTCACAGACAATGCCTGACAGTCATGGTGGAGCAGGAATGAGCCTCTCTCCTCCGCAGAGGCTTTAGTGGGCTACGATTATGATTAGTATTGAGATGGAGGTAGAGCGGAGCCGCTGGGCGAAGGACTCCACTCATGTTCCAATATCTGCCATGTAAAGTGTAGTGAAATGTATCTCAGTACTAATCGTAATCATAGCCAACTGAAGCCTCTGCAGAGGAGAGAGGGAATGAGCATTATTGATTTTCTTGCCACTCGAAACTTATCCGTTACTTTTCAAGCAAAGCACGTGTTCGCAAATTGAAAAAGTAGGACAAATATTGCGCGAACCTTTTTAATTAAACTTTATAACCTATACGGCTATAGGCTTAAAGTAAACACCGAGTTTGAGACCTAATTAAAATCACCGGCATGAGGAAACAAAACAAGCAACCTCGCCTCAAGCGTGATAAAAACCCTGGCTTGCGAGGTTGCAAAACAAGCAGAGCTATTAGCGAGAGAATCTCAGTCAACACAATCATGATATGAAGGATCAAGTTATAAGTGGATTTCCTAACGGCGACAATGTCAAAGCATAGAGCGTACTTAAAATGACGTAATACGTCACAGAACTTTCTCCTTCTTGACCACTTTTGTATTAATTATACTCGAGCCAAAATTTCATTGCCATTGGCGTTCAGTATTTCATCAGCGTTCAGGAACTTCGGTCTTTGCATGCATTCATTTTCACGTGCAATTAATTGATTTAATATGATCAATGATGAATTTGCTTATTTTTTATTTGATCAAATTAAACTGTGTAAAGACGTACTTATATTGTATCGTATTTTATTCCATCAAATCTTACAATCCCTTGTAGAAAATGAGTTATTGTATATAATTCCCGCCCAGTGTTTTTCCTAGACGAGAGAGTGGCGATTGTGATTGGCCAGCGCGTTCCCTGCACCCTCGATGTTTACCCTCGATGTTCGGTGTTTACAGCCATACAGGAATGGCGGAAACGAATGGTTCAAATCAGGGCGCAGTTCAATCAAAAGTAACTTTGACATGCATTGTTGAACAAAATTTAAAGTCAAAACCGTTCAAATGTATCTTCATATGACTCATGTGATGAGTATTATACAGTATATACGAGAGAAAATAGTCTTTACATTTAATTGTTTTCGTGTGACTGTGCCTATGTCCTATGCCTATGGAATATGACGCACTTCGTTCGTATCTTTATATTAATATTTGATCTTTTTAAAATTGAGTCAGTCAAATTAATCCATATTTGAAACCTTAGAAGGTTCAGTGTAAATAAAAAACAAACTTTGACGTAGTGGAACACAAGTAGGTTCAAGACAATGTCTTTTGTTCGACGATGAATCGAAACGATGAAATAGAAGGTTGTTTTTATATTCAAAGATACCGTACACGTCGTTGTTGTGTACCGAATGAAAATACTCTGCGGCAATGCTTTTTGCATTGTGCGACTAAAGTGGCAAATATCCGATGTGTTTTAAGCCCCTTTGTATTTCTATAGACTAAATTATCTATCCACTTCATCGTAGCCTGCGTAGCTGGCGATTTTAAGGGTTGGGCTAACTTTATCGCGGCGAATATTCTCGCTAACCAATCATGTTGCAGAAACTTGTTTTTCCACTTAATTCTCTTCGCTTGGCAGAAAAAAGGAGTTTAATTTAAACATGGTACGACTACCAAAGACCTCACGACTTTATACCCCCCCTTTCACTTCTAATGAAATATGTTTCTGAGAGGTTCAAACCAGGGCGTTGACCTGGTTCAGATGTAGCCCGAGTATTAGAAGGTCATATTCCATTCATTAAATTCGGGTGGAAGGCCTGATTTTCAGGTTTAGTTGAAAGACCATTTGGCCACGGCACTTGCATGAGATTATAAGAACAGAGCATGCAAGGGTCAAGGTTCAGGGGAAGACCTTTGTCACGAAACAAGCTTAATTTGGCTTACAGCAAAATGTCATGTGTCAAGTAGGAATCAGATTACAGTCAAATCAAAAAACATTTTATCTTTGTTTGGAATCAAGCTTGTTTACCTGCATGTTTTAGAATGTTAGAATATACGAGACATCCTGTGACCTGTCTCAGCCTCCCAACCTATAGGTTTCACAAAGCCCACCAACAACATATGTAGAGTAGAAGGCTATATTTTCTTTACTCTAATGTCTATACTATATTGTCTATACTGCAGTATTGTCCTGCAATATAGTCTCATTCACAGCCTAATTACCCACAGTTACAACTATATATACTCATGATGTGTTCACGTGAACAAAACGAGGTCGTGTTACAGCTGACGTAGTGAAATATTAATAAATCTATAGACATTAGCAGCTCTTTGTCACAGGTCATAACTATTAATTTAAAAACGCAGTTATAAACCACTGTTGCGTATAGAAATTTCACACTAGATATAACACTTTGTCTTTAAAATATTATCAATAATTTTTCTATTAGAATACTTACTTCATTAAAGGTCTCTGAATAAATATCTTTTTAAGTTCTTCTAAGACTAAGTCCGAGGTTTCATTCTTATTTCGCAACGTGCTGGGCTCGCCACAGGAGTCAGGTTGTGAAAATCTTCTGAACGCCTTTAGATTGGCCACTGCTGAACTATATCTGCCATGCCACATGTTATCGTGTATATTCTGGTAAAATATCTTTCTGTCATAGCTTGTGTCAGTGATTTCTTCTTTAAGAAATTGAAAATCATCGAGCAAAGTCGGAATTTCGCCGCTTATCAGCTGTCGTATATATGGTTCTAAAATAGCCCAAAATTGCTCGACTTCTCGATTCGTCCAAATGGGCTCAGGGTTTCTTTTTAAACGGACACTCATCTTCAATGTGGCATCATAAGTTAAACCAAGAGAACGAGTAATTTATACAACTATGATGTGATAATCTTCTGACAGCTCCTACAACTACGACAGGACGTAAACAAAGCGACGCGATCATATTAAATTTTCTATTTGGCGGTAAGCCGATATGCATAGCAACCAATCATATCAAAGAAAGACGGAATATTTTACATAGCTGTCTTGATATGAGCTTACGGAAACGAAACTGAGTAGAGTAAATATTGTGAATCGCGTGGCATTAAAAACGAAAACAGTGTATAAAGCAAGTGAAATATTAGTTTGAAACAATGAAAGTGAAAAAGTTAAATACGTATTTGTATTTATTTAATCGTTGATCTTGACCTTACAGACATGCAAATGAGCCGCTCCACGGACTTCGAGAGAGCTCTTGATTGGTCACATGGCAGGCCCTGTGGAAGCATGATCAGCGTACAACTACCATATATGTATACCAGAAGATATAACAATATATAAGATACAGCCCATCTCCAACCATTCATGCAAAAGTTTCTGCAGATGCCTTAAAAGGATTTTGAAATATTTGTGAGAAAATTTTTTCCTGCTGCGAACGGCGCCATAAAATGTGAAAATTAACATGCTTTGTCTTCATTTCACCGCCCACTGTGCACGTGTTGTATAAAGCAAGTCTTAGGCAGCGTTTACACTGTACCGATTTCGTAGCGTTCTCGTTAAGCGTGTGGGACGGCAACACGACGACGACGGCAATCAATACAATGAGTCAATGAAAAGTGAATAAATAATTGAAGTACCAGGGGAGTTTCAGACGTGGTCGTCGTTCTGTTTACAACGACAAATCACATATTTTCACGTCTTTTATACAACGCCTGCATTTCAAGCCGTAACAAGTGCAACTTAAAGACGTTAAAGTTCGGTCAATGGAACTCTTCTCAAACATAAAGCCAATGTTTTCAGCTTCTTATACTGTATTAAATTCATACGAATTATAATATACGACAAGTTTTCTTTACTATCATTTATTTGAAGGAATTTGTTTTGGCCGTCGTCGTCGTGTTGCCGTTCTACAGTACATGCTTAAGCTCCCTAATCCTCAAGGGAACGCAAGACAATAGTCTAGTTCTCTCGAACAATACGAGAACGCTACGAAAACGGTACAGTGTAAACGCTGCCTAAAGGTTGATCTGGGTTGACATGCATTCAAAGAAAATATGCTGGACTGCATTGAATGATGCAGTGTGGGCAGTATAATCTTAAAAAGTTCAGTGTAAATAAAGTTGTATTCTAAAAGTTGTCTTATTAATATAATTTCATCTAAATTAAAAATGTCTAAAGTATACGAAACAGGCCAACAGTCTCCGAATAGTTCCATCATGAAACTCAAGAACAGGAACGAGAAGACAGAGGTTTAACAGCGATATTTCAATACTATTTCGAAATATCATTGTTAAACTCTTGGATCCTCTTGTAATGTATCTGTCAAATCTTGAGACAAGCGAATCCGGTATCGTGTAACTGGGCCACGACATCGAATTTAATTAAGTTTGACAAAATAAAACGAAAACTCGGTTAAAACTCCCTTTAAAAGGGGAAATTTTATGGGCAGCCATTATTCGTAAAAAGCGAATCCGGTATTGTGTATAACTGGGTGTCAAGACATACGGTACCGACAGGTAATGGCCGAGAATCGCGGATCCATCAGGGGTCGTTCATTTAGTACACTTCGAGATCGATCTGAATTGGAGCGATCTCAAACCAATCCGACGTTCCTTGCGCTTCTTCTGTCCACCCAAGCTTGGACTTGCACAAAAACTTGAATGAATTAATCAAATTACCGTTAATAAGCGGGGAGGATTTCAGGCTGCAGTAAGAAAAAATAAGCATGGTTGTTGGTTGTAAAACGATCCGAGACCACCTCTCGAGTTGGTCTAACTTACATCGATCTCGTTTTTCGTTGTCCATGCACACTTGCCTCGACATGGCTTTCCCATCGACCTAAATCGCTAGTGTGAATGGCCCCTTATATAGCCCATATAACTTATTGTACTCTTCAACAGTTCAGACTTTAACTTTAACTAATATCACCGGCACCGCATATAAATATAAAATACGTGGATTGTCGGATACACATGCATGCATGTCGCATGAACAATGTATATAGCCTCTACAGAATTATTCTGTAATTTAAACACTTTTATGGTATATCCATCTGATATACGTACCAACCTAATGTTCCACGGAACCATGCACTCAACAGCATTTAAATCATTCATACAATAAAACAATATTTAAACAACATTGACAAAGTAAAGTACTAATGTTCAAGTCTTCCTTGTAGTAAATCACGTTTTTTTATGACAACACAATTGACAATGTATATTACTAATGCACACGCGTAAAAACGCGAATAACCTGTTCCCGGTTGATATCGACAGACTTGAACTGCAAGTTGCCAATGTTGTTACAGCAAAGTTTTCTTAAACGAATGAAGAATAAAGGAAGTGGATGAGAATATGCACTAGATCCTATGCATAGAATGATTGATGTAGATAATAATCTCAAAGCGGGAAGTCAGACACCGCAACACAGTCACAGATACCAACAAGACACAATGTGTCTTTTTTACTAACTCGTGAGTCACGTCAACACGTGCGGAAGACTTCACTCGACGGCACGACAGAACGTCACGTCAACAACACGCAAAACACGTCCACAGCACACAGTTACAACCTCTGTGGTTACAACGCAATTTTCCGCGTGCCAAGAAAAACCCCCAAGGAAACTGGACAACTAGCATAATCCTAGTATTGTTTAAGGTTAAGCCGTAAAAATAGAATATAAGCACTTAACCTGATTAATGATGCTTGACTTTAAGAAAATAATTAAAACTACAAAAGAATAAACTCAAAAGAAATTCAGCAATATAACAATATGAGTGAGAACAATGTGAGTAAGTGCATGCAATCGAAGATGAATGCTTGCTTCTTGCGATGAATGCTTGCTTCTTGCGAATTAAAGTGGTGAGTCATGTCACTTTCAATAAGCATTATGCATGGCGGTCACTCAATATTCTTGAAACTTATATAGAACTAACCTACCTCTCAATTTTCTATACTTTCATCAAATATACGAGCACTACATATATTGAAAAAACTAACAGTAGAAGCCCACTGTAATTAGAGACTTACGATTTAGGACGGCAACGCGACGGCAACGGCTACCAATACAATATATATATATATATATATATATATATATATTGAATAATTACAATATACAGGGTGTATCAAAAAAAGCGCAATCCTCGACTGAAATGTAAATTGCCAAACAAATAATAGACGAAAACGTTAAAGTTTACATTCATTTTAAAGCGTAGTCATTCAGCTTTCTAACAGTGGGTTGTTTCTTAAATTTGACTCATTGGTTCGCGGGTAATAATACTTTACGTTATTGCGATTGGAGATTAAAAAAATTGAGATGGAATAACAAATCGTTCTCATGAAAATAACTGATTTTTTCATTAAAACAAAAAAATGTTGCATTTTAATAAATGGATTGTAACAATAAGTATAATTACGGCTTTTCTTCCACTATTTTTTAACTCAGTTTGGAACTTCAAATGCGATATAACTTTGGCTTGGACCATCTAAGCTGACTGACATCAACTTGCTATAATTTCTGTTTACATTACATTACATCGCAATTCGATGACACTCTGGCTCAGACACCAGAATGTTTTGACGATTTTTAGCATTCGTTTAGGATTTTCAAACAACCTGGTCTCTTTTAAAA